TCCCCCCCCCCCCCCCTCTCTCTCTCTCTGTCTCTCTTTCTCTGTACCCTACAGGATCGAATATTCCCCTGAGCCCAAAACCAAAGGAAACAGCAGAAACATACCAACATCTCAAAATGTCGTCGGAGATCGGTGAAGGACAACCGGCGAGACTGCAACAAATGTCGGCACGCCCAGCAGAGCCTGAGCACCTCCAATGCCCACGCTGCGACTCGACCAACACCAAGTTCTGCTACTACAACAACTACAACCTCTCTCAGCCCCGCCATTTCTGCAAGGCTTGCCGTCGATACTGGACTCGCGGTGGGACCCTCCGTAACATCCCCGTCGGAGGTGGGACCCGCAAGTCATCTTCTCATAAACGCTCTCGCACCGCCATCACCTCAACCACTACAGAATCATCTTCTTCGACTGTATCCTATGACCCGACACATGGTAATCCGGTTTCTATGATACCCGGAATCAAACCCGAAATGGGTTCTGGGTCTGGGTCTGTTTCTTCTATGTGTGGTGATATGAATCTGAATGAGTCCGTTTCTGGAAGTTTTTCTTCTTTGCTGAACACAGAGCAGGGTATAGGGTTTGTGCCTTTGGGCGGGTTTGGCCTTGGGCTTGGTTCGGGGGTTCATGGTGTGGGGTTTGGGCTTGGTATGTTTGACTGGCCAATGGAGCATGTCGGCAACGATGATGGTGGTGGCGGTGGCGATGGTGGTGGGACTGTTTCTGGGGTTCCATCCGGTTGCAACATGTGGCAGGTAGGTGGTGGTGGTGGTAGTGGTAGTGGTGGTGGTGAAGGCGGTTTGGACAGTGGTGATTGCTTTGGTTGGCCGGACCTTGCTATTTCCACTCCGGGCAAAGCTCTGCAGTAAAAGCCCCACCTTTTATTTTCCATGGAAATGAAAAACAAGTGTTTGGTTTTGAGTTCTGCTCTAAAGTTGCATTGTGGGTCAGTATATGTGTGGGTTTTAAGGTGTCATTTTTGTGTTTGGGTTATCTTTTGTTGGGTATAGAGTCATAGACTACAGAATATATGTGGTTTTTTCGGTTACATTACTGAGGGCAACGACGCGATCTTTATGGACGGGATGGTTCGCAAACCTCTACCATGTCTCAGGTTTTGTTATTGTGTTTTACATGTTTTTGTAAATGTATTGGGTCTGTTTTTTGACATGGGTTTGACACAACAATGGAAGAAGAGCACTGAAATTTCGTAAACATTCATGAATTTTGCTATTTTTACTATTTTATTTCCTGTCCTCTTTTACATATTTCTGCAATGGCCACATAAAACTTGAGTTTTAAACAATTTTTATGTACCAGCCATGGTTGAAATAATTGCCAGTGTCTTGTTTGGTTGTCGGAGTCTTTGGAGACTTGGGGTTGATTTACTAGGGACAGCCCTTGGCCTACTTGGTGCACAAGTCACGCACTGGATAGGATGGTGAGTCTAGCTTCAAAACAAATGAGTAGGTGGGGTCCCTAAACATGACCTTACAATATCATGTTGCCAGCTTACCACTATAGAAGTTATGGGTAGCATGAGACTGGAAGATACACCTCAGAAAGCCTAGAATGGTGCCATTTATCTTGGGAAAAAAGTTTATATCTGATTTGAGTTATTTTCTAACCATTTTTAAATAATAAAATAAGAAAATTTTTTATGGGTTATAATAAGAAGGCATGATAATAAAAAATTATTTTTTGATACTGAAGTTTTATCCTCTGATCATGAGTCGGATAGAATTATAGGTGTCCTTTTTAAGTTTTAAATTAGAGTAACGTTACAAATTTCAATATTTTAATGAGTAGTTCAATTGATAACAAAATTGAAATATAAATTCAAACGTTTTAAATTTAAATTTTGACAATTCTTTTAGAGATTAGTCGATATGTGTGTAAACTGATTAGAATATTTTTGACTGCCAAATTAAAAAAAAAAAAGTGTTTGAATTTGAATTCTCTAGAGTGAATAAATCATAGGTTCAACTTATATACAGTATTTTTAGATGATTATGATCATTGATGTTGTTCGTTATCAAAAACCCGTCATTTCGAGATTTGATATAAATGTGGAAAGGTCATGAATGACATACCACCAACCATGGGCCAGTATGAATGATCATCTGTTTGTGTTACTCCCTTCTCATTCCTTCCTTATCCCCATTTCAGGTGCACCACTCTTTTTCAGCCATGGATGATGATGATGAATCAACTGTCATTTTAGATCTATTTAGTGAAATAGATGCTAGCAAAATGTGTTTTGATAGGAAATTACAAGACAAGCGCCATGCCAGACAGGGAATTTCTGGGTAGGGACCGAAATTCCAATTCGAAGATGGCCAGTTTTGTTCTCACCCATAATGCCTGATAGATCTAAGCCGTTGACATTATTCACACAAAATGACTGTAGTATAAGAACAGTATAACTAGTTCACAATCGATGAAAGTTGAAGATACTTCTTAGTCCAAAATTTAAGACATATTTCCCACTCTGAAAGCAAGGAAAAATACAAAACCAACTTGCAAATAAATTCACCATATCCAACTCTGCATATCATAAGTTACCAATTCAGACCTTTTTTAGTTCATAGCTGCTCTTCTTATCTGTTCTCAGTTGGGCTTAAAGAACTTCAGCTTAAGACCACTGTTTACCATGCTCCAAATACCTCCAATTGAGAAAGCCAAGCTAAATGCAACACCCAACCAACCAAGGGTCCAGTTAAAGTACCAATTGAAGCTGTACTTTGTTGGCTTCTTAATCAGAACCCACATGAAGCAAGGATAAGCAAATGTGACTGGAAGAGTGAGTCCTCCTAATAAACCAGCAAGACTGGAGAGGAACGGGAGTGCCACCCCAATGAAGAAAGAGACAAATCCATAAAACACTCGAAAACCAGATCGGACCCAAATCGAGCAAGGACGGTTGGTACGGCTGGTGTAGCCAGCTTCAAAACTGTCAAAGACAGGCATGGAGTATATCTGGAAACTACTCAAGCAGTTGAACACTACTAGAAGGAACGTCATCCCGAGTAGTCCTCTTGGAATGTCATGACTGTGAAATGCAAACAAGGCACTGAGGATCCCTCCTGAAGGCATCTACAAAAAGGAAAGAATACCAAATTCAATAGTCAGTTACAAATGATGCAACAATAATTGAATGGTACAAGCAATACACAAACTATCTAACTTAAGGTTACCCTAAAGCATAAAGCCAAGTATTCTTGATGTCTAAAAATATAGTTCAAGCTTTAAGTAAAGAGCCTGTGGTTGTGGATCAATACGTGAGTGCTTATATAGCATTATGTAGTCATTTTTGTTGTGGGGTGGAATTCTCCTAGCTAACCGATTGATATGGCCCTGCAAAGTTGGTCATTATGAACATTACAATTCATTCAATTGGGGGTTCAACGTGTTTTGAAACCCTCCTCCCTCCTCCCTCCTATAGATTCTTGCTTTCTCAAAAATTCACAAATAAGAAGTTCAATTTCAATTTTTCTTTTTTTTTTTAAAAAAAAAACTTTTAAACAATGATACTCATCTTCAGCATTTGTTCTGGTACATTTAAAGATTTTCATGGCATAATTTCTTCTGATTTTCAAAACTTTTCATGCATTGGGTTTACATGAATTGATAACAATGAACAATGCCATAGCTAGTATACATACAAGGTTTCCATACGCCCAAAAACCTCCAATGGCAACAGGGAACAAACACATGGCAATGAAGAAATAGGCTACTTTGGCTCCTCTCCACATTGGCACATGAGCTGGGTGCTTGAAGGTTGATGGCATCGTTGCCTGGAAGAAATTTTTACCAGAAGCTCTCAAATGTGCACATTTAACATATGGATCCAAGAATTTGTTCAGACTCACACACACACACACAGGGAGAACAAAAGCGATTAATTCAGATCATTGTAGCACATACCTGAATCTCCATGGCTAGATTGTGCCCTCGGAATGCAAAGGCTACAATACCAAGTGCATTTAGGACTGAGAAGGCAGATGCGGTAGAGGATGGCAATGAAAGAGGTTCATAAGAGATAGAAGGTGGCCTCTGTTGGCTTACAGAGAGGACCCATACCATGGTGGAGTAAGTGATGGCCGTTATAGCTCCTATGAGAGAGAGTCCTGCAATTGAGTTTAGGTTTGGGAGCTGGGACAGTACAATGCATAAGGAAGTGAACACCAGATACCACTCGACTGTCGTAAGAGGATTCGATGAACAGAGAGGTCCACAGACAATCTGAAAGAATAGTTTCATGGTCTCCCCTCCTATAAGAATTAAAGCTGTTGCAGTCCCCGCTGACAAGTAGACAGTAGGGAAAAGAGCAAGCCAGACTCCTAATCTTTCCCCTGAAAAAGCAAAAACAATGTGTAAAAAACAGCATAATAATGTGGTGAGGTAGACAATGAGGATATCAATCTAGTAGTACAGATGCACAATTGCCACCTGTCACACGAGGACACAAGAACCATTGGATGCCATGGCCAATTTCTATAATAAACCAACACAAATTTATTTTAGATCTTTTAACATGATTTTGGCATCTATTCCTGATCATCCACATTAGTGTAAGAACAAATAAATGAACACAAATTGAAACGTATATTAATGCACATGCAGTTCGATTGATAGAACAGATTATCAGGAATTCAAGGTTTTGTACTATTTCTTAATTAAAAGAAGGGAAATAGATGCAATCTCACCAAAAGCTGCTTGTGCAAGCTCCACATATCTATTGTATCTCTTCCCAGGAACTGCTTCATGCAGCTGAACTAGAACCCACAAAGTGTAAAGTTGCCAAAAGTAGGCTATGGTTAAGGAAATTATTCCCCAACTCCTGCAGTACATTAAAAGAATACAAGAAAACAAACATGGTAAGTTGGCCAGAATTATGCTAAGGTTGAGAAAAGTATATAGCAGCAGTTATATGCAACTAAATCTTTTCTGTCCTCCGCAACAGAAGAAAATCAGACAAGGCAGTGGGAGAAAATTGTAGATCTTATAAAACCTTACTGAAGGGCAATAGTAACTTTATGAATCCACATTATTCAAACCGTTACAATCACCATTAGTTTTTCTAATAAGTTGAATAAAAAAAACTACAAGAAGCATGTTTTATCAAGATGATTATGCTTGATCAGATTCAAATCCTGGTGCCGCTCGTTAATAGACCATCTTTACTGCAAGGCTAAGGCACTAGTTTCATTGTACCTTATTGTTTGAGCATCATTGTTTTCTCTATAATATAATCCTACAAGTAGGGTGGGCCTTGATGCAACAGTATGGTTGCTCCATTGTTAGTTAGAGGTCACGGGTTCAAATTGTAGAAACAATCTCTCTGCTTACAGGGTAAGGCTACATCTTACCGCAATGACGGGAGCCTCATATACTGGATACGCTTTTTTTTATAATTCTACAAGCCAAAATGTACCTTAATTGAGCAAGATTGACCCAGACCAGTGTGTCGACACCACATACATTGTGTACGTACCATTGTTTTTTCTTTTCTTTTTTTTTTTTATCCTTTCTGTATTTCTAGAAAGCAAAACACTCCGAAATTCAAGGCAAAACCAATAGGTACAACATTAATCACACAAAGAATTTTTTTTTTTTTATTTGCTTGTATTAATCACACAAAGATTACGACAAACATTACTAATTTATTTGATTGAAAAAGAATGTTTTATAATTGATCAACAGCAGAGGATATTATTTTACTCAAAAAGAGAACCGAGGCCCCAATAAAGTGTAAAGCAAGAGCCAACTGTTCTAGTTCTTTTAAGATAAGCAGAAGTATAAGAGGTCCCAGTTGAAGTGGTGTTTCCTCAATGTAACTTAAAGTTTTGATGGGAAAAAAAAAAAAAAGCAAAAGAATAAAGGAATGAAATGACTTGCCTCCAGGATGATTCTTCTTTCTTCCATTCACATCAAATCCATGATGAAAATTGACAAAAGCAAAACAATAATAACTAAGTAGACCCACAAAACATCAGCTTTAGTCAAGTCCAATTTTGAAATATAGAAAAAAAGAGAGAACAATGGTAAGTCTAGCAGCCCAGAAACATTGGATTCTGAGATTACAAAAAAAAAGCCCTCTTTTTATAAATCAAAATATAACCCATTCAATTCTCAGAATCAAGTGAATGAAACTAGAAGATATGAACTTGGAAAAGGGAGTATGGCACTGTTTTTGTCAAGTTCAAAAATGTCTTTACTAAGAGGTGCACCTAGCTCCTACCAAATTTTTATCTAATTTCCAACACTAACAAAACAAGAAAATCAAAAACAACACAGGGAATAACAAATATCACAAGTCCAAAAGAAAGAAAATAAAACCCAAATTTAGCAAGAACAGGTCTTAATAGTTAACAACTGGATAGAAACTTAACTACAAAAACTGAACATTTAAGATAATGATGTGAGAAATTTAAGAAGCATACCAGCCAAGAAAACTGAAGGCAACTGGCAAGATTAGGGCCTGAAATCCAATACCAGCATTGAGGTTATGGAAAGCAGCGTAGTGGGCATTGCCATTGCGAGACTCAGTAATGGGAAGCCAAGCATCTTGAGGGTTGAGCTTTGTGAGGTGACCCACCTCCTCCAAGTAACCCTTCATGTTGATGAACACCCTCTTCATTGGTGT